TAGTATAGTTGTCCAGACCAGCTTGTAATAGGATTTCTCGGTAGGAAGTAAAGACCAGTGCAAAGTTACAGACATGGGTTGTAGACGAGGTTAACTAGGAAAAGTAAAATCAATATCACTGATTTGTTACATCCTGCTATATCGTAAGGAGCCGTAAGCAAACAAAATGTTCTGCCACACAGACATGGGTAGATTGAGGTTATCGCCCCACCGTCATGAATGCTGGTCAATAGCGCTGGTCTCTCGTTCATAGAATACTGCCCACTTATGAACCACAACACTGCATACAGACTTCGAAACAACGCATATACCCTATCTACGGTAAAACACAAAAAATCATTGTGTTGTAATTTCTTTGTAATACGATACAGTCTACTGTGGAACAGGTTACCGTGACACAATCACTAAGTTCAAGTAACTAGTCATGCTGTTGCTAGACTCTAAAGAGATTTGTCGACCATTCCCGGAACTCACACAAAGTCCCCAGGCACTCATTTATGGTCCACCAAATATTTAAATAAACCTTAGAAACGAATTATAGACTGTGAACATATTGTGTCCTCATTACCACCCATACATGTATCACGAAATGATAGACGAATACCCCTGCTCCTACTAACAATAACTGGTTACGCCTTTGAGGTGCTACCCGTGACTTTTCTCTAAATTTAAATTCCAAACATTATTTTCATATCTTCACAACAGTTTCAGTTTTTATTTCTAGTAGACAGACAAATTGAAAAGCCTGTAGATGCTGATCAATTACTGTCAATTACAAGGAACTCAAACTCCGTGTATCATTGTGAGTTCCTTCTTGTTTAAGTATTAACAGTTTAATAAATTTTTATTTCCACAATTCATCAGCATCCAAACACCTTGCCCGCTTACCAATATATCGCTTTTCTCACTAATTTTTGACATTATTTCAACCCTACATAAATGCAGGCATACACTCAGTGTTCCAATGAAAAAGAACGTCTGAGTAAACATACTTTTGTTTCATCCAAAAATGTTTGTGCTAAGCCGTTGTTCGTCTTTAAACAAGAATATTTTCTGTTCTGCTCCTTGTCCCGTTGTCTTTATTCCTTTTTTTCAGAACCTAATTCCAATCCTCTTATATTAGTCTGAATATTCGACGTAGACTTGGTTACCCTACCCGCGAACATGTGAAATCATTAGCTAATGAATATCAACCAGACTTTTGTACATTTACCGCATCAATTCTTGTTATATGCTAACCTGGCTCTACCACGCATCGTTTCGCAGTCAGTAAGATGATAGTCGTAACGCAACCTTCGTAACTTGCGCCATTTATTCGCATTGTACATTCCATCAATAGGAATCCGATGAATCTTGTGAAACATTTCAGTAACTGTATACCGTTTTAAAAGAAATATTTCGCTAATCTTAACATTTCGATGGTGCCCGTAAATTGGCATGTCTTTTGTAACATGTTATTTGAGAATAAATTATTATTATTATTATGACTTCCTAATACCGGTTTCCTTGATAAGTCTGAATAGTTGTCCAATGTCGCCCATCGCTGTTACCTTTTCCATCTTCCTTGCTTTCGCTGCCCACCACTGTTCGCGATCACTTCGTGGGCTTTTTATCAGCCTGCGCCTAAGCTGACTCCGCTCCTCATCGTAATAAGAGCCAGGAGGAATGAGTTCTCGGGGATCCATCAGTTCGGTCGATGCGACTGAGATCCACGGCTTTTCCCTAACCTTATGGTTTACCATACTGGCAGAAATCACTGTTGATTCCACAGCTTTTCGAATGTCGTTTAGAACTGCCTTGGGGTGGGCATCACTTACTACATGGCTTTCTAACTGTTTTTTATTAGGGCCTCAAACAAATACATGCTTGCGCTAGAGCATGGTCTGATTGGCAGCAGTCTTCAATAGAGCCTTTCCTTCGATGGCTTATAAAGATGTGATTCAGTTGTGTCCATCCTTGGGTCAGCTTTGTAAGTCGCCAGGTCAAAGTATGTTTTTCTTTGTGCCTAATGTTAGTATTTGCTATAAACAGACGGTTATCTGCGCGTATCTGTTCAATCAGTCGCAACACCACAAGATCCACCCCGATGTTTTTCCTTCTCACTCAGTCTACCTACTTGAGTATTGAAGTCAGCAGCCATTTACTATATCAGTGCGCTAAACGTTTTGGAGGTGGCCTGAAAGTTTTCTGCAGAGCTCATTTTTTATGTCTTCGAAACTACAGTCAGTGGGGGCTTAGGCGAATTCTGCGAAGAATCAACAGCGAGCTTTCCGTATTTTAATGAGTACGTACCGTCCCGTTTAGCTGGATAGCTAACAAGCACTGTCTACCGGGATCCAGTCTGTGAGAGCTAGTTCAGCCCTACGACTTCATACTATAACTACGCCACCGACGCCACGGGAAGCAGCATTTGGGCTACCAGAAACACGAAGCGTGAATTGTGTTGCTTTTTTATCTACTGTAGGTGAAATATAATTGGTGATTTTACTAGGATCTTGTATGCGTGTTTCGGAGATGCATTACACATCGACCGCATGGGATTCTAGAGTTCTAAATAGTGAATCATGTTGCCTTATTTAGCATAGCATTAAAAGCTCCAATATGTAATTTAGCACGGGGGTTCAGCAGACCAGGGATAATGTTTCGTGAGCTCAAACCGTTCGCTTCATCGGCGCCAGGTGACAAACGATCGAAGGAAGAGTTAGTCGAGGATATAAGAGAGTTATTAGGTGTAGAAAGGGTTTGGTTCTGACCGATTTAGTCTCGTGTGATTTAATGGGTATGAGGGAAAATGTTACATCACGACTGCTCACACAGTTGAAGGGTTCTGGTTGTCAGGAGGGGCAATGGCATCGTGACTTTCGAAAGAAATTGGCTTCCATCATGAGACGTCGTAAATCTTCTAAATTAAGATATACTAACTTCCATAGTAGGATTTATATGGTCCGAATTATTTTTTATTGTTACAGTTTTTGTGGCAAGTTAGTTCTTTCCGGGATGGAGTCACAAACCCACCTCTCAACCTTCCTTTTTTTCAGGCCTTTGGACCGGCGATAGCCCAAAAGGGTCTGCAGGTGAAGTAGCTGATTTGAATGCTACTGGTATCCATGAGCCTTATCATTTGTGTTCAGCGTCATATATATTTGTATATACACATAGGTCAAGAATCTTCAAGTTAGCCAAACCCAGTTTCGCTTCCGAATTCTCTCTTTATTTTATTCATTGTTGTGTAATAATATTCTTAATAAATCTAAGCGCATTTCGTATGCCTGCTGTGTCATTTTCTCATTTGATATCCATAAGGTACACTGCTCTGAACGAACACATACGACATACTAGTTTATAAAGCACTGCTAATAGACTAGAACTAGTATAGTCGAGTGCTTAGGCTATCATCCATTGCACAATACCGAGAACCTCTAATTGCACCAAAACAACAAGAATCAATTGGAAGAAATCGATTGGTGGATATTAGATCGTGTAAATGATACTGTGTATTGTTTTAACTTTTGGCCTTTGGTATCCAGAAACCCTACTTCCATGAAACAAACGTTTTCATTCCAATCCCGAGACATACAAACTCACAACCAACTGCCGACTGACTAGAATTAGACAGTCGAGTGGCTAGATCACCATTCATTGAAAACTACCGAACACCTGGAACTGTACCGAAAGAACAAGAATCGAGCGCAAATATATTCAATTAGTTTATATTAGCTCGTGAAAAAGATATTGGATATTGGCAGCCATTCAAGGTTGATCTGACAAAAGAGCGGGTTGCCTTGACCAGAAGTGACACAACGTGCGAAGATTTACCTAACCAATCTCTTCTTATAGTTATCACTCTTTCTTGACCTCATGCTTGTATCACATCTGATTGTTGTTATTTTATTTCTCTATTGAATGTAAGTGCATTCTATCTGGTTGCTGGGTTCTAGGCTCACTTTTTCTCTAACATCGACTGTACACAGTGCTCCTCACACTCCCTCAGCCCATAAGGTACCTTCTGCCTAATCACAAACTAACCAAAAGCTAAAGTCACGCTTACATTTTTCTGTGTCGGCCTGTAGCAATCAACTGCTTTCAGATAAATTATTACAATTTTCTGGTTACGATATCATTAGATGTATCGATTGCTTCTCTCACCAAGAAGGATATCATGCGCTGAGCTTACTGAGTTATCAGCCCACTTTTATTGCTCAGGTTTATTCAGGCTAGACCCAAACCGTTACATGTATTGATTTTAGTTTGTCCATATTTTGAGTTCTAGTGGGAAGACGTGACCAGTGAAGTTCAACCTGTTTGGGTGTAGGCAGTGTCTACCGAAGACTTTGTATGAGGTTGCGCAACTCCGTGAATTTGATCAAGTTAGATATTAACACTGTTAGATACCGGCTCAGTGGTCTAACAGTTAGGGCGTTCGCGCACAATACCGAAGGTCCTGGGTTCGAATCCTGCGGGATGCAGGAGTCGATTATAGCAATAGGAATTGGTTTTTAGTTCAGTTTAAAGTCGCTTTTCTCTCCTATTATGTGGGGAGCATTAGGTGTTTCGCCTTAATGTGTAACGAGGTGAAAGTCTGTCATTCAACAGCTTGCTAATTGCCAGATTGTCTACTTTTCGCCTTAACCGGTTAGTCAACATTTATGGTCAGTAGTTAAAGTATCGAAAATGTAAGGCTGGATATAATTCAAAGGCAAAGAAATTCTCTTGATTCATGTTATTGGTCACCAGTAATCCCTTTTATTAATGTTGACTAGTTGTAGTATAGTCTTTGTTATCTCCACTCCGTGGCATTTTGCTTAACATGATGAAAAATCATTAAGACTTACGTCCTTTGTATTCCCCAGATTTAACAAAATAGGCTTAACTATCTGGTTTTCGGTTTCTTAAGTCACTTATCATTCAGCTTGCCTATTTGTATTTCACAACTTGTTAATTTTTCGTGCTTATTTTACATGTCCTAATTCTGTGTTGATTTTTTTGTGGTTCTTCATCTTATGCATAGTTTTAATTTTCCTCCACTTTTGCGAAATTATTGTTTCGGCACTAGAATGTCAGGTAATTTGTTTTTTATCATCTACAAAACGTTCTAGTTTTCTCAAATAGATTGAAAAAAGTGTTAAAATACAAATTGGTCGTAGGAACATCTTGTGCATTATGTGGATATGTTGGGTTTTTACTGCTCACTGATAATGAGTATATACCCGAATACTATCCTCGTCATTTGACTGTAAGTGGATTTTTATGAAGGGCATATTAATAAAGTGATTGCCATTCATTTCTTCTTTGCTGATATCTGTTTAGATCTTTACTTAAACAGCCACTTTCACCTAGAAGTCTATGTTCATTTTAAACACAGTAGATACTGAAATTCTAGTTTGTAACCTCACTCCTTTCATTCTCCCCTTTACACCAGTGTAAGGAAATAACCATTGTCGTTAAATTTTACACAAGAATCCAGCTTCACTGGCCTAAATTTGGTTACTAGACCTCAGTTTCAGTTTGAGGCGGACAACGTGCTTAATGGCCTGTTTTCGTCATGGTATGGTAAAAGATAAATATGAGGGTTTGTTAGGTCAGTCAGTCAACTACGACGTAGAACTTTGTCCGTCCGTACGTCAGTCCAAGTTGCCATACCGCATTAACATAGAGACTCAACTGTCGGTTCAAATCTCATAGTGGTAGAGATAACAGAAGAATTACTGGTAGTGGAGAATATTAGGGATCGAAGATATTATTCAAGAAGTATAGTTCAGTGAGATAAACTTAAAAAGAGAAAGATAGAGATGATGAGGAATTCTGAAGATTAGGATTTGAGAGAACACAAACAGTAAATTCACCTGCGCCATTGCAAACGATTTTGAGCCATGTCGTTCAAGGTCTCTAACCATCGGTTGTTATCGTCTCGCGGACCCCAACCAGGTAGTCTACATCTACCAACATGACTCAGTC